GTTGATAAACACCTGGAACATGGGTGGGCTTCAGCCTGTGCTTGTTGAGAGTGATCAGTCCCACCATGGTGCTCAAAATCAATGAGATCCCCTGTTAAAGAAGGGGGTGAGTAAGTGAAAGTAGGAAGGGAAAACTGAGGACAGGATGGGGGTGTCTTGGACAAGATCCCATTGAGCAGTTGTGGAGGAGCAGAGGCTAAATCACATCCAGATCCTGCTCCAAGCTTTCCCTCCCGCTGCCTCCCTGGAGCAGAGCTGAGTGCCAGCAGCTAAACCAGCTGGCTGCAGGGGAGGACAGCCAGGCAGAAAGGCACAGATCCATCCTCAGGGCTGTGTGTGGCATTTGGGCAGGGAAATGACACAGGAATGGACTGAAATCTAGTCCAGCTTTCACCCTGATTTCAACACCTGCCTCTGCTCGTTCAAGGCTCAGCACCCCTGTCCTGCTGTAGGAAGGGAGTGGGTTTCCCTGTCTGAGCACATTGAAAACTGAGTCACCAATACCCTGATCATATCAGGAGTAGGAAATCTCTGTCTTCCCACATTTATCCACACTAAAACAGTTATGCAAAGCAGTGTAACACAAGCACAGTCAAGTGTGGGCAGGGGAAAACCAGGATATTTCACAGTGACAGACCTTCTGTTCTGGGAGTTTCTGAAGGTGCCTTCCCTGAGGTGCAGGAGCACAGACAGGAGCAGACAATGACAAGCTGGAGTTTGGAAACAGCAGGTTTATCCTTCATTATCCCAGGAGTGAGTTTGCCATATCTGGAGTAGGATTAAATGGCTTTTAGAGGGTAGATTTAGATTAGATATAAGGGAGAAATCCTTCCCTGTGAGGGTGGGGAGGCCCTGGCACAGGTTGCCCAGAGAAGCTGTGGCTGCCCCATCCCTGGAAGTGTCCAAGGCCAGGTTGGATGGAGCTCTGAACAACCTGGGCTAGTGGAAGGTGTCCCTGTCCATGGCAGGGGGTGCAACTTGATGTTCTTCAATATCCCTTCCAACTCAAACCACTGTGTGATGATTCCATGATTTTCAGATTACATTTTTTTTTTTAATCTCTTTTAAAACCAGGGTTATTTATTCATTTGTGTCTCTGCTTAAGACATAAAGAGACTGATCCAAATCCCACTGAGATCAAGGAATATCCTTCACTCCTGTAGGATTTGGGTTGTAACACACCAGTGGCAAATGCTTTGAAGTGAAAGAATTTTTGCCTCCCTACTAATCCTTCAAGCACCGAGCACCCCAACCCACATGGGAATTATTAAAAGCAGAGAACAACATGGAAAACAAGTTTTATGCGACCTCAGACAACAGCTCACTCTCTAGGTGTTAATTCAGTAAGCATGATAGAAGTATGTCCCATACTACAGGATCAAACAGAAACACCCCACTTAGGGACAGGAAAGGAGAAGTCAGGACTTACCGACCACTGAAAATCCAGCCAGGACGAGCAGGAATCGCTTCATGAATCCCTGTGCAGGCTGGGCTGGGAGGGCAGGCAGTTGATCCTGCGTGCAGGTGAATCACCTTTCATGAGAGGTAAATTCTTTCTGGTGAGGCCAGGCTGGATTTGTTGCTCAGTAACAGGCTGCAGAGCTCCTATCCCGCCTTCCCTGGGATCTGAGCTCACCAGCCCCGCGGAGCCGTGCGCATGTGTGAGGGAGCGCGGGAGCCACGACAGGAGCACCTCTCCCCACCTGACTGTACAAAGGTCCATGAGCCAGAGGCTCAGAAAGTCCCCCAAATCTTGAAAAAGAGCCAAATACCTTTTTGCTGAGAGCTTCCTGCCCGAAAGCCCTCCCTGAGGTTTCTGGGGTTTGAGCCTGGCTTTTCTGGTCGGGCGACTCGGGCTTGTTGAAACTCTAGAAATTAAAACTCAGTGCTGGTGCACCTGGTTGGCTTTAATGCCTGCTGCAAGCAATACACCTATTTCCTCCAGAAATACCCCTGAATACTTTCTCAAAGTGGAAGTCAGCCAGATCACTTTGTTTTTACACTCTTCATACTGACCTTGGATGGGAACCAAATGACCAGCACGTGCCCTGCTGCAGCCTTGGCAGAGCACGAGCTCCTCAGGTCTGCCCTGCTCTGCCCTGCCAGGTGGGTGCAGAAGTTCTCTCACCTGACATAGGAAGGAGGTAGAAAGGAGGTGGCCTTTCCACAGGAGGAGCACATGCTTTGTGCAGAGGCCACTGTAGACCTACAGTTTATTTTTGTGTCTGTTTAAAATTTAAGGCTCCGTTAGGGATATCCTGGATGCCTGGTGGTAAGAACTGGGAGTTTGTGAGATACAGTTCCTTTTCCATAGCCTGCTCAGTTATTAAGGTGTTATTAAATTACATGTTCAGGTTTTTCTCAGAAGAGGGTGAGACATTTCCTTCTTCCATCAAAACTGAAATCTCCAGGAGATGCAGGTTTAGAACCACCAGGTGCATAGAACACTTGAGAACTGGTACCTCTGCATGCTGCTTATTTTACCCAAGACGTCCCAAGAGGAGAAGGCTTCACACATGCAGCCTGTATTTGAGGCTTAGGACACTCCCTGAGCCACTGCTTTTGACTGTTTCTAGCGTGGCTATTCCTTTTTCAAAAACTAGATTACCTCTGTGGCTCATTCCTCTGCTTTATCTTAACCCCTCTTCACAGCTGGGGGTCCTGTCCTCAGCCCTCAGCTTTGCCCAGGACTAACTGGACCACTGAATAAAGGTCAAGTGCCACCAAAGTTCCACAAACCCCAACTACCCCTTCTGCTTCCCTCTTTACCTCGTGGATTGTCTCTTCCTGAAGCTCCTTCTGTTCCCTGCTCTGCTGGGGTGTTAACAGGGCTCCAACCATGCCACGATGCACCACTGTGCATTTTGTCTTTCTCAGCTCACCTGGACAAAGGCAAAAGCCTCACAGGTGTGTTAAACAAGACACACCTATCCACCAGTGTGGCCCACATCTAATTAGTATAACTCCCTGTTAGGGTGTTCCCTGAATGACCTGCTAAAGTATTTCCACTTTTCCTTCACTCACGTCACTACCTTGTGCCTCTGCTGTGTGCCAGGGCAGGGATGAGGGACCTTGATTGTACCTGAGACTTTAGTTTTGAGAATATAACTTCCAACTTTATTCCTGCCCTTATTTCTAGCGAGATGCCACCTTTTGAACAGCCCAGGAAGCACCTCCCTGAATCTTTAGGTGCCTGAAGGTTTCCAAATCTCTACTTTCAAGTTGGAAATTAAGTACTTGGCTTCGAACTTCCAAACCTCCTCAAATTTTCAGCTCCCTCACTGTCGGGGGGGGGGGGGGGGGGGGGCTGCAGCAAACCTGGTGACTGCTACATGTGTGGATGTGGCACCTGGGGACATGCTGGACTTGGCAGTGCTGGGTTTAACAGCTGGACCTGATGATCTGACAGGTCTTTTCGAAATGAGGTGATTCTCTGATGCTCTGATAAGGACTGGTGGCTCTGGAAGAGGCAGCACTGGGCTCTGGCTGTGACTGACCCTTTTGCAGTGGAAAACAGGTCTCAGACCCTGCTGAAAGAAAACGTGGAGGAGTGGGATGCTGCCTCCCCCTGGCAGCTCACCTGGCCCTGCAGCCTGTCCCTCAGCTCCCTGGAAAGACAAAGAACTGATCCCAGGCCCTGTTTGCAGAGCTGTGACATGTCAAAATAATTTTGTAGAGGTTACACAACTCCAGAGCTTCCTGTAACTCAAAGCCTGGGGGTTTTTCCTTGATTGCACAAGAAATTGGGTGGTGATTATGCTTGTATCATCTGTATCTTTCTAAATGAACTGGAGGGATTACAATGCAGGATGTACCAAAGGACACTTTGCAGAGGACAGGCAAGAAAAAAAAGGATAATTCTAGTTGATGGGTCCTTTCTCCAATCTCCCACTTTAATTTAGGCCCTTAATTAGCACATCTTGCTTCAAAGCTGTTCCCAACCCCTCCTATCACCCTCTCCCTCTTTCAAATCTTGTCCTCCTGATTTTCTAAAGATTTCAGCTTTAATACCCTCCATCAACACCCTTCCCTCATCTGAGACAACTCTCCCTGAATGCAGAGAATGGCTGGGGGGTGTTTCCCTCTTTCTTTTAAGGCTTTGCTTTTCGGTGTGGCCTCCACACAAAGGCTCTCTCTTTATACTTCAGTATAAAAAGACTTTGTACAAGGGCACATAGTGATAGGACAAGGGATAATGGCTTTAAACTGACAGAGGGGAGATCTAGATTAGATATAAGGAAGAAATTGTTCCCTGTGAGGGTGGGGAGGCCCTGGCACAGGTTGCCCAGAGAAGCTGTGGCTGCCCCATCCCTGGAAGTGTCCAAGGCCAGGTTGGAGCAACCTGGGCTATTGGAAGGTGTCCCTGTCCATGGCAGGGGACTGGAATGAAATGAGCTTTCAGGTCACTTCCAATCCAAACCACTCCTTGATTCTTTGTTCAGAGAGAGGGTCACAATCCTGGTTTTTCTGTGACCAGGATGGCCTGTCTGGGAAGTGTCACAGCATTCTACTCCAACCAAAGCATTAGGAAGGCCCAGGTGGGGTCCTGTTTTAAAATGTAATATTTTTCAGGATGAGCTGCAGTCACCCTTTGTAGCTCTGGGACACAAAAACACACACACATGGAGTTATATATCAAAATATCAAAATATTATTGCTCTCAGACACTCTGCACAGCAGGAGGAGTTTCGGCTTCTGTAAGTATATTCATATAAAACAAAAAATAAATAAATAAACAAACATGCTGCATATTTCTCCCTCTGTTGGAACACAGAAGGTGATCTCTGTAGGCTGAGGTAGAGAACTTTCCATCCCACAAAAAACAGATGTTGCTGACTGGCTCTGTAAGGTGCTCCCAGTCCAGCAGAGGTGCAGTTCTGCAGTTGGGGAGGAGCAAATGTGACATAAACAGTTTAAAATCTCCTCCAAATCAATGTGCAGGCACAACACTGTGTTTTCAGGGCCCAGCTGATGGTTTCACACGAGTCTGGGTTGTGGTTTTGCCTTTCATAACTCACATGTAGCAGCTGCCTTGCTCTGAAGTTTTGGGTGAACAGGAGGCAGTGCCTGTTTGCTGTGTGAAACCTCTGCCTGACTCACCCCTGGCTCTAATCAGAGCCTGAGCACCTTATCACAGTACATTGGGACAGTGTACAGAGGTTACTGAGAAATTAATTACACCTTCTGTGTCCCTAAAGTCATATGCCTTGATAGGCCAGACATCAGCAGAGAAAACTCCAAGTGAATAAATAAAAAACCAGCGTCACTCTCAAGTTATTTGTCCTTGTTCAGGTATCCTTGCCTGGATATCTGGAGCTCTCCAGCATTTTCCAGGCACTCTGGGTACTCTAGGTCCTTCCCAAGTAATGTGCATGGCTGTAGCCTTTGAATTGAAACTTGGGATCATATTTGTCCCCCGTGTTTGAAGGTTCAAAGGTGTCACTCAGCCCCGTGGAGGTGGGAGGTGTCCCTTCGGTAGAACTGTCACTGTCACAGTCACTCGAGATCCCTTCATCTGCTGCCACCTGCAGAGTGTGTAAGGGGATGAGCAGCTGGATGTTGGGATCCTTCCCGAGCTGGGATATCCCGTGGATCTGGACCTGCAGATCAGTGATTGATTTCTGGTGATACCTGGTGAAGTGATGACCCTCCTGCTGCAGGTGGTGCTCACCGGGAGGGCCTTGGGCACAAACCCCCTCCATCAGTGGATGAAGGAGGGTCATTTCCAGGCTCTCACCCCTGTCTGCCTCGTGCTGGTCACTGAAACCTGGGAATCTCACATCAGTGAGGGATATTGTCCCTAAGGAGGAACTGTGAGAAAGGGATGCCTCCTCATTTGCTTGGGATCCTGAGGTGTCCACCTCATCCTTTCTCTCTGGGAAGGAGGAGAAACCCAAGGTACTGAGGTCAAGCAGAGATTCACTGTCCACAGAGAGACCTCCAGTTCCTGAATCCAAGCTTGTTTTCCCCTGAACTGCTTGGGGTGGTTGGCAGTTGAGATGTCTCTTTGGAAAGCGAGTCACTTGGTTGTATGGGATGAAAGTACCACTGTCTTCTTCTTCCTCCTCCTCCTCCTCCTCCTCATCATCATCTGATGATGATGATGATGGTGATAGGAAAGAAGCCACCCGTGGTAGGTTGTTCCTTGCTAAGGCTCTGCCTGTTTTCCTTTGTGCCTTTGGCTTCTCTGTGCAGCTCAGAGCATCACTGCAGAATTCCTTCTCACTGAGCTCCAAGGGAAAGGCTGCTCCAGCAGCTTGGAAGTGACGAAAATCCTGCCAGGGAAAAGGAGGGAGACAGTCAGTTAGTGATGCTTTTAAAATAAAAGTTTGGATACAGGAAAGCCTACTTAAAATGGGACTTAGGAACACAAAACTGAGACGTGCAGAACCCCCCCCCCACTCCTCCCCAGTTCCCCTCTGAAAACCAGTAAGACATTGAGTCAGGAGGGGACCCCAGAATCTGGGCCATACCAGAGCCTGAGGCATCTTCCTTTGCTTGGCATCTTGTTTCAAAAAGCAGAGGATGAAGGCACCAATCAGGAAGATGGGGAGGACAAACACAGGGATCGTGGCAGGAAGTGGGAATTTCACTGATGAAGAAGAAAAAATAATCTCCCATTGGTGCTGTTTTCATAGCAATTATGGGCTTTATATTCAGCTGTTCTTTCAGAAATTTCAAAAAATGGTGGACTCAAGATCTGTATTTTGCAAATGCAGAGGAAGGAGAACAGACCTGCCTAAGATCAGACTCTAAGTCATGGTCACAAAGGAATGTTGATACCAGCCAATGCTTTACTTGGATCAGGGAAAACATGAAGCTTTATTCACATATATTTCCCCAAATTTCCCTCAAGAGCACAATTCAAGTACAATATCCAGGATGTTCAGCAAACATTTCAGGGTTGGCTTTTTAAAGTGAAAATGTTTCTATAGAAAGCAGGAACCATTCACTAGAAAATCCAGCCCTTTAACAGGAAGCCCATTGTTGTTGTTTTTGTTGTTTTTGAAGAGCTAGTTTTGGTGGAAATCTTTGACTTGCCCTGATCCCACTCGATGTCCCACCACATCCTTTTCTGGGAAGGACCAGAAAAAGGTCCACATACCTTTGTGGTTTAATGGCACACACACTGGTGGGGAGAATTCGCTGTATTTTGTGGGGTAGCTTTCGTAGATAGATCTGGCACTAAAGCAGTAGTTGCCTCTGAGTGCAGTGGTATTAATAGTCACTGAGTCCCTCTTGAATTTATCTTCATATTTCTTCTGTTTGGAAACAAAACAGAGGATTGGGGAGATGGTTCTTTCACTATTTGGGTGGTGTTTCTCTACCATTTCAGCCCATGATTCCCTTTGTTACGTTGTGTGGCTTCAGGGGTTGGGAGGTGCATGGTGAGACACTCCAAGCAAGCATCTCTCCCAGGGTGATGGATCCCAGGGTGGGATTTCCAGCTGTGCTGTGCTCTGTTCTGCCAGGCAATGCTGACCTGGTTGTTTTAAACCTCAGATATTGACTGTAGTGTAGCATCCCCTTCCTGATAAAAATGGGGAACTGACAATAAAATAAGGAGGCACACACACACAACACACACACATGCACTCACATCTACTTTTTCCCTCTGGCTTTGGTTTAATTCTGGTTTGGCCAGTTCCTTTTCCCTAGGCCCTGGATGCAGAAATTTGAAGCTGTTTCAGTTCAAGCCGATCATTGTTCCTCCTTTCCCCCCAGGAAGAGCCACTTTTACTGACCTTGTCTTCAGATCCAGCTTTCCAGTAGTTCAGTTCGTACTTCCAAGTGAGCTTCTCCACACAGGTGGGCAAAGGGAAGGAGGCACTCACATTGATTAAATTCTCCTTGACCTTCAGGATGAGCACGGGGGGAGCCAGTTCCACTGCAATGGAGCAACCAGACATGAGAATGGTGCTTGCTTGGGTCTTACCTTTCTGTGACTGATCCACACTGTGAGGGAGGCAAAAGAACACCTTTTTTACCCCACATCCCCCTGCTGGTATATATATGGAAAGCTTGAAGCCAGTTTGTTCACCTGGAGCTCTGATGAACAAATTCTGACAACTCTTGCTGCAAATTTAATTTTCAATCAATCAGGGCTCGTTGTAGTTTGTGCTCCACAAAGCTCCTGATTTCTGTTTCTGTGGTGTGTGAGCTGCTCATTTGCTCAGGCAACACTGTTGCTGGGATGTCCCTCCATCCAGGCTGGAACCTGAACAGACTCACCTGCTGAATAGTAATCCTTGAACCGGGATTTTACCCAGCGTGACTGGAGTCGTCCTGAAACAGCTCTCACTCGAGCCCGGACCTCAGCGTAGATGTTTGAAGGCTCACAAGTCAGAATGCAAGAGGTTGTGGGAATGTTGTTGCAATGAGGAACCTCCAGCCATTTGCCCTCGTGATCCTTGCTGAAAGAAGAAACAACCACACCATAATTACCATAATATTAAACGTGTTGTTTTGCTATAACTTGTGCAGCAAGAGAAGGGAGTGTTTTGGGAGGATGGGTCCCAAATCTTGCTCGGAGTTTGGAGCACTTTCAACATGGACAATGTTTGGTTTTTGGTGAAAGGTCACTGATCATTATGACATTGATTAATAGAGTTGCACAGTTGTTTGCCCTGTGCCACACCTTCAATCAGACTTACCTTTCATAACTCACAGTATATGTCACATCTTGGGGAGACCCTTCTCCTGGAGTCCACGTCACAATCATTTCAAAATCCTTTGACAGTAGTGTAACATTCTGAGGAGGGAGAAGTCGGACATGGCCTGATCAAAAGGGAAAATCATGTGGATTATTTAAAAATATCTTTGGGGATAGGAAATATCACCTGGTTTTGATTGAGGTGGTGTCAAAATTTGAGGCAGAGCAGCTCAGTTCATTTAAAACTGGAAACTGGCTATGGAAGCAGGTGTGATATAGTAATTTTTTTTCCTGATTTCTTATAAAACATCCTCCCAGGCTGATCCTGCCAGGAATGCAGCGAGGTGCAGCATCCAACTCTGCCACATGGACTTTCCTGGCACCTATTTTTCCTGGCAGACCAGTACATCCATCACTAAGCCCTCAACAAGACCCCTTCTACAGACAGGTTTTAAATTGCCTTTGCCATGGAATAACTCACTTTGTGTGAATCATTCCCATTCAAACTGCTTAAAATTTACCCGTGTCTGTCTCTCCTCCTTACAAGCAAAGCCACGTTGTGAAAGGAAAAGTAACAAAGAGGTACCTCCAGCCCGGTGCAGGAAGCACAGAGCCACCAGAACTCGGACCCTCCAGGAGAATGTCCCGCTGGCCACATCTTCCTTCCCTTGACACCTTTTCATGGCGCTGTTTTTCTTGGCTGAAGTTGTTTGAATTCAGGGGATGCTGGAGCCAATGCCCCGCACACACGCGCACACCCTCCCTTCCTGGTACAGCCAAGCACAGCCCCGCACGTTGGACCGGGCAAGGAGCCCGTGGGAGAGGAATTTTGGGGAAAGGAGGAGTGAAAGGTTGCAGTACTACGCCCTCCAGTGCACCTCGGCACAGGCTGTGGAACGCAGAGGAAGCCCAGCCCAACCTCGTTAAAAATCAGACCTTTGGAATGTACCTGCGTGGCTGTGAAATATTAATAGAAATCAACTGAGGTTTCACTGCTGGAGGAATCTATTTATAACCACCACCAATAAAAAACGGAAGGGTGGGGTGCTCTGATAGCCCGGGGTTTACAAGAGATCGAGGATTTTCTCTTTATTTCTGTCACCATCCCGTTTTTCAGGAGCCAGGGAATCACTCCACTTCCCAGATGCAGGGGTGAGGTGCAGAGGTGGGACAGGGATCTGCCCCTTCCCACTGTGGGCAAGTGAAAGGACGTGGATCCATCTGCTAAATCCTGTGTGTTTCCTGAATGCCAGTGCTGCAACTTCCCTATGCCTTGGTTACCAGTTATTTGTCAGGAGACCAAAAATCTCCCTGAGCATCAGGACCAGCTGCCAGGGCTGAGCCAGCACATGGGTGGTGCTTGGCCCCTGTGCTCCCAGATCCATGATCCCATTCCAAGACTCTTGGCCTTGGAATTTGCAGCCATAAGACTCCCAAGGTGTTTATATCCTCACAACACGGTTCCTTTCAACTCCAGAGCTCTCCTGGGGCACAGCCCAGTTCCCAAGTTGCTGCTGTGTCCCACACCCTCACAGTTCTTCCTGAAGCAAAGCCAAGGAGCAGCAGTTTTGTTCTGTGTGTCTCAGAAAATCAGGAAATATCCCGGCTCAGCCACCTTACAAGTACAATGCCCAGGGGGATGTGCTTGGAATAGCTGTGCCACTGCATCCCATGAGCAGGGAGAGAAGGGGGGAAATCCCTGGATCGATTGTGCTGTTGTTTGGCACGTCTGCTCTCCTGCTTTCCCATCACAGTCACTTCCAGGCCTGTGCCCTGATGAGAGGGAATGAGTCAATGAAGTTACAGCTTAGGGAAAAGGGTTTTTCCTGGCTCTTCCCCAGTTGGAAAACTCACCCAGCCCAACAGACAGCCCGTTGCTGCTCCTGTGAGTGTCAGGGTCTGGGTACTAAGCGGGAGAAGGGTTTATGGAGCTGGGTTTGTACTGGTCAAAGCCTGTGTTTTTACCAGGAATGCATCAAGTGTCTCATTTCCATCAATTTGAGCCATAGGAGGAGGCGAAGTTACGAGTTTCTTCAGTCACAATTTACTCCAAAAATCTCCATTTCTTCTCACCATGGGCTTCTGTTACTGGGACTTGTCCTTGGCTGTTTTGGTACCTCTGTTTAATTTCATTTAGTTTTTATGAAGTTCCTCTTTCTTCTGCAAAAAAGAACTATAATCCTGTGTAAGGAAAAACCCAAAGCAAAGGGTCTGGAGGGTCTATTCCCCTTCAGCATCCAAACAGCAGAACCAGGACCAACACGTGGATCCTGTGCTTCCTGTATCAGCCTGGGCAGAATGGGAAGCAGTTCCAGGACCAGTCATTAAGGTCTTGCTAAGAGCCCTCAGGCAGCTTCTCTCAAAGATGAGGTGCGATTTTTACTCAGCATTTGCAAGAGGTGAATTTTATCATCATCACCATCATCATCATCACCATCATCACCATCATTTCCTGTGAAACTTCTGCCCTGAAATCTGGGCTCCGCCGGCCTCTGTGGCAAAACTCCCCCTGATTTTAGCACGCCTGTCCCAGGAAATCCCGGTGCGCTGCTGGCACAGGGGGTGGCCAATGCCACGAGGTGTCGCTGCCCATCAAACAAAACACGCTTTTCCTCCGAGCGACACCGATTTGAAACTTTGGCAAAGCACTCAGAACTCCCTCCGCCCTCCGCACTGCTCAGCACCCCCGGCCCGGGCCGTGCCCTGCTGAGTGTTCCCACAGCATCCTCTCACGGAGGGCACACAGGGCACCGACCACACGAAGTTTTGCTCTCCTGCCCTCCTCCCCTTTGTCCCCGGCTGTGGGTGCCCAGGCAGGGAAGGGATCAGGTGCAGGACTGTCACCTGTGTGAAGGGCAGGATGATCATCTACAGCTGGGGGGCTGCTGGGGGGTCCTGTGGCCTGTGATGACTTTATGATGCAGGCAGGGAAGCTGCTGCTGCAGAGGAAGGAGAACACTGTTTGTCCTTGGGCAAACACGCAGCTGTGCCCAAGTCCTCCCACTGTTCTACTCATATGGAGCATAAATACCCAAATATCCTTATTCAAGAGCCATCTGGATGCAATCCTGTGGAATGTGCTCTAGGATGACCCTGCTTGGCCCCATTGTGGTTCTCTTCCATCCTTAATATCAGGAAAGGTCCTACCCCCAGAGGGTAGTTGGGCACTGCCCAGGCTCCCCGGGGCAGTGGGCACAGCCCCAAGGCTGCCAGAGCTCCAGGAGGGTTTGGACAACACTCTCAGGGACAGGATGGGATTGTTGGGGTGTCTGGGCAGAGCCAGGAATTGGACTGGATGATCCTTGTGGGTCCCTTCCAGCTGAGGACGTTCAGTGATTCTGTGAATCATTCTGTGATTCTGTGAAATGCTTTGGGATGGGGTTGTCATTCCACAGTACATTCCACAGCCTCATCCTCCACCTTTGCATGCTCTGTGATACCTGGGGGACTCTCCATGTGCCACCTCTTCCCTCTCCATGAGCAACAGCTGATTCAGCCCACGGGGGCAAACCCTGCGACCTTTCCTGAGTCACAGTGACGGGTATCTGCCCATCTTGAGGAAGGGCACTGCAGGAAATACAGTGTCACCCTTGGGAGGAGGCACAGTTGGGGCTGTGGTTTGATTTTGTGAAGCCTTTGGAGGCAACAGGCAGCATCAAGTCACCCCAGCTCCTTCTTTTTGCTCTTACCCCACCCAGAACTGTGTGTGCTGCGTTCTGAGAGCCTGGGAGGGTGACTGAGCTTGGGGAATAAAGAACATCCACAGATTAAAAAACATAACAGGGCATTTCTGGTACAAATGGCACCACGAGGAACCACTGATCCATAAGAGCAGCGTGATTAACATTTCCAGTGTGCTCTTACATTTCCATCACCACCACGTTATGTGAGGGGTTGGATGAATCACGGAATCACAGAGTGGTTTGGGTTGGGAGGGACCTTAAAGCTCATCTCATTCCACCCCCTGCCACAGGCAGGGAACCTGCTACTAGCCCAGGCTGCTCCAAACCCCGTCCAACCTGGCCTTGGACACTCCCAGGGCTGGGGAATGTTTTCAGTATTTCTTAAAATGTGAAATACCTTTTCTGAAATAGCCTCCACATGGACTTTCACAGTTGATTTTTTTGTTTCTGTCTGAGTGTCAAGAGCTCTTCTTTCCCCGAATGAAACCAGAAGGTGCATTTGGAGAATGTTTCTATTGGAACACTGGAAAGTTTTGACTTGACGTATTTGGGGAAGAAAATTTCCAGTTTCTTCAGGTCAGAAATTGTTGTTCTCCAGCAGCTCTGGCAGTTCTGTGCTGTGGGATTGCTCAGCTGCAGGTGGGGAGAGGAGGTGGCAGTTGTCACAAACCTTCTGGACATCGAAAGTGTCAGGGAACAAGAGTGACATTTCCCAGCAGCCCTCACTGGGTGATTTGAGATACTTCTTAAAGGAACATGATTCGGATAAATACTGTTTTAAAAGCAGTTTTTGCCTAAGATCTTCATCACTGAGTGACTAAGGCCTTTAGTCGCCCAGACTCAGCTCTTTAAATGGTCTTTTCCTTCCCTGCTGTTAATTAGCTTCCCGCTGAGGGTGTGATGATGCCTCAGACAGTCCTGGCAGCCCCTGCCACCCATCCCTGGGCTGTCCCTGTGCTCCCACAGCCCACAGCCCCAGAGCATTCCTCAGCATTCCCTGGAACATCACCCCAGATCCCTCTCACCACGGATGTGTGCTCAGGTATTGTGCACACAGGGACTGAGACAGGAAAATTGTGTGAGCCCAAGGCTTGGCAGTGAGAAAATAATGTCTTTGACTTGGGAAGTGACCTGCAGAGCTTCCAGGTGGAGCTGGAGTCTTCACCAGTGTGAGACTGCTTTTCTTGGCTTAATCTCTTTATTTCTGGAGGTGGTGGAGCTGATATAACTGTGAATCATAGAATCCTAGAATGGTTTGGGTTGGAAGGGACCTTAAAGTTCATCTCATTCCACCCCCTGCCATGGGCAGGGACACCTTCCACCATCCCAGGTTGCTCCAAGCCCTGTCCAACCTGGCCTTGGACACTTCCAGGGATGGGGCAGCCACAGCTTCTCTGAGTAACCTGTGCCAGGGCCTCCCCACCCTCACAGGAGAGAATTCCTAATATCCAATCTAAACTCACCCTCTGCCAACCATGGTGGTAAAAGTGTGCCACATGGGCCTGTCTTCAGAGCTGGGCAAAGCAAAATCTGAGGGCAGGAGATTAATTTTTCCTTCAACATTTTTTCACCATCTGCTTGGAAAAGTGAATGAGCATGGCAGTGTCTTAAGAGAAAATATCCCTCAGCCCCAAACGAAACAAAAACCATAATTTGAAACTGAAAGTGAGACTTTACGCACTTCCAAAGTTTTCTGTGGAAACCACTTGTAATTTTGGGGGGGAGAACATACTGTTTTACAAGGAGACCTATGCTTAGGGGAGGGGCAGAAAATGTCCAAACAAGTCACTACTTTTGGAAACTTCCTCCCCTGTCCTGAGTTCCTCACAAGGAAAGGACAACTTTGGCCCTGAGGTGCAGGGATCACTGTACCCCACACCGTGTTCACCTCCTTGGCAGCTCTTCTGCCCAGCTCTCCCTTGCTCTCCCTGGCTTATGTAGGTCTGTAGGACGAGTTGTGAGGCAAAGGCACCCGTGTCATCCAGGAACAGGAGTGTGGA